GGTGGGCTACACTCTATTTGATAGAGTGAGGAGCATGGTCATCAGGGAGGAGCTCAAAGTAGAGCCACTACACCTCCACATGGAGCCTGTTGAGGTGGTTCAGGCATTTGATCAGGATGCCCCCTGGCTGCTTCCCTGTGGAAGTTTTCAGGCATGGCCTACTGGGACAAGGCACTGAGGTTATGCTAGGACATGCTGGAGGGATTATATCTCCAAGTGACCTGAGAGTGGCCCAGAATGAGCTGGAGGAAGTTGCGGGGGACAGGGATTCTCTGCTCTCCCAACTGCTAACACCACTCCAATCTGGATTAAGCAGTTTAAGATGAGGAGGATGATGATGATAATGATTATGAAATCATGGACACTGCATCCTCTAGGCTAAAGATGAGAGGGACGATCCAGCTTGTTATCATGTACAGTCCAAAAGCCTGCATGTGTGACATTATGTACACTGGTGCATTAGTGCAAACGACATGGGTGAATAGCACATCTGTAAAGGCACCATTAGTGCTGAATGATATATACACGTTTTAGAGCATATGCTGGCATTCGGATGAGATCTTTTTTTAGGGGGGACCTAACAATGCCAAACCACATTCTGCACATACTGTAACAGTATGGCCCTTTGGTGAAAGAGTTCAGGTGCTAAAGTGGCCTGTCTGCAGTCCAGACCTGATATGCAAGGCCGGCTCTTTTCACAAATGGAAAAAAAAAGTAAAAATACAACATTGATCTAATTTATGTACTACTGAAATAAGCACCCGCTCAAAGAAAAAAAAGAAAAATATCATTTTTGTACAAGCAGGTCATCCACTCACCACTGTTTTCAAATCATGTAGATGACGTGATTCATGTACTCTAAGTATATAAGTGTTTTGTGTTTTTTTATAGATTTGTTTTCTTTACTTAAATACATCAGCATTATACATCGCTATGTGTTGTTATGTGTTATAGTCTTTATGTGTTCTCTAAAGTCTAATGAAAGTGTGTGACTGCATGAGGACATTAACACAGTCTAGGTTTCTAATTTCACACAGCAGATAAAAGAGCATCACCTTCCTGTTTACTCAAAAACTGCAGACAGACAGTCCAGAGGCCGCTGATGACCTTAAGTGCTACTTTCCTTTAGAACCATGGTGCATTGGGTTTATTTTTGTTCTCGCTAGCTGTGTAACCTTTAGTTCACTAAGTATCAAGCTAGCAGAGTAAAGTAATGAAGCTGTATCATCAGTCAGTTATAACAAATGGAGTAGTTTTATACATGGATCACTGTGATTACAGCAAACTCAAAGCTGTGGCATAAAAACATTAAGCATTCTATTTTAATTAAGAGGTTTATAAACAGCTTTGCCCACATTTTTCTTCAGGTTGGAAAAATGAAATGCTTCAGGTTGCAATGATTTAAGGGCATATTTTGCTGTCCCTCACTGACCCTCGCCCATCTGAGTACTTACTTAATAAACTTCACTTGTGATAATATAGAAATTGAACAGCTCTTAAAATGGTATTGAAACATGCAGCAGATCACCGAAGTCTGTTCTTCAGATATTCTCGTGATGTTTATTCTATCAGCTGGGTAACACTGTACTGAGATCAGCACTGATAAACACACCAGTGATCATTACTGCTTCATACAGTAGCAGGAGAAGAGGAGGAACTGGATAAACTCCTGCAAGCTGGAACAGCCACTGCTCTCTATGGAAGACATTATGATAAACTTTATTGCTAGAAATCTAAGTCCGTTACATATATAAGTTTAAAACACTATAATATCAGACACTGAGAGATGATTCAGACTTTGCAGGAGTTTAAGATGAACTTTATCTCTTGCTGTGACCAAGAAAGTGCACTTGCAGTCCTTGACAGGAAGAAGCATATTTATAACTGGGTTTTTCAACTAAGTGCAGTAGCTTATAGGTACACATGTTAACCACACCTTGTTTTGCATCTCAGTTCTGTGTCTGTTCTCACTATTTATTGTCTGGATGTTGGAGTTGAGCCCCGTTACAGAACGGTAGGATGTTTTCTTTACTATAGAATATTTTTATTAGTTTATGGAGAGAGTGTTCTCTACAGTACACATAAAAGAATTCAGAATATTTTTAGTAGTTTGAGATAATGTAGTCTGTACACCATCAGTAAGAAAGATACAACAGATAACACAAACACAAAATTATCATTACATTTATTGAAGATAGAGGTTTTGTCTAATTCTTTATCATGCATGTGAAATAGTATTTGCCTCCCTAAACCTATTAACCGGTTGTGTCACCCTTGACAGTAACAACTGTGATAGGACACTTGTGATAACTTGGCATGTGTTTTACATTGTCTTTTACATATGTCTGAGCCTTTTACATTGCTGTGGAGGAACTTCGGCCCACTCTACTTTGCATAATTTTTTACACTCCTGTTTTAATTCAGCTATACTGGAGATTTTTGAGCATGAATTGCCTGTTTTAATGTCCTTCAACAGCATCTAAATGAGATTCAAATCAGGACTTTGACTCGGCCACTACAAAACCTTAATTTTGTTTCGTTTAAGCCATTCAGAGGTGGTCTTGCTTGTTTGCTTTCATTATCCAGCTGCATACCCCAACTGCACTTGAGCTTCGGGTCACAAACTGACAGGCAGACATTGTCCTCTGGGATTTTCGGACAGAGAGCAGAATTAATGGTTCTATCAATTGTGACAAGTCATCAGGTCCTGCAGAAGCAAAGCAGCCCCAGAGCATCATACTACCACCACCACGTTTGACTGTTGGTATGATGTTTTTATGGTTGAATGCAGTGTTATTATTTCAAATATATCATTGTTACAATGCAAAATTGTTCAGGATGTCTACACTGATATTCATTAAGATGATGAACAAACTTGAAACTTACCAGCCAATAGCTTGAGACTAGATGCACATTTTACATTATGTTATGTAATCTGTGTGTGTTCATGTGTTTTGGGGGAGTGGCTCTAGAAGGAGGGCTGAAAGAAGGGGGTGGAATTTTTTCATTCAGATTTTTTTTTAAATTAGCTCACACTTCCTGGTTTCTACAAAATCACTTATTCCAGCTTTGAGTGAATGACTTATTTACTCATCATTCACTCATCAGTCACTAGAAATGGTAAGCATTAATCATCAACATTGAGTGTTTTGTTGTGATTATGCAACAATTTCATTCGTGAGTTTTTTTTTTTTAATAGATTAGATTTCAAGACAGTTATAAAATAAAAAATGGATTAACAAGAAAGTTCATTCACATGCTCTGAACAAAAATAGCCCTGATCCAGCACTGCTGCTTATAAAGGCTACTGTTTGAAGTATCACAATGCAAAAACATTCTCCACTTTCTCTACATTTATTTACATTTCAGTATGTAAAATATCTAAAATATGCAAACGTTTAATTATTTTGTTCTTTAAACTGATTTGTCAAGTTCCACTTATTTCTTAAAACCTATAATATTTGCTCAGCAACATCACTCATTAAAATGTCATCAAATATGTTGGGCTGCTATAAATGCCAAATAAAAAAAATAATTCCTTTCCATTTCATTTACATTATTTGATATAATCTGCATTTTGTATTTTTAAAATTGTAATGCGATATTATATCATAAATAAATAAGTGATAATGTCAAACCTCAGGGCCACTTAAAGTGACAGTACAGACACTTACCATACCTCTGCACAGGACTAATAGAAAATAATGAATAAATATTAGGTAAATAATTACTGGATCATGTTTGATGACTTTGAATTTGTATATGCATGTTTCACCGCTTTATTCAAAGATCAGCTTATGTTGCTGGGCTGCAGCCAGTCAGCATCTAAACTGAGGTCATCTTCCAAAATAAGAATCCAAGTTTGCTTATCTACTGACCTGCTTTAAGAACTTACATTATACTGAATGGAATATACCAGTTGTCTTTGTTTACTTGAGGTGGAAAAGAAGCATTCAGTACAGAGTCTTCATTTTCAGCCATCAGAATTTGCACTACCTGCTGTCAGAAAGTTTGCCAGAAATGTGTGAATGGAGTTAAAACTTTTGAGATGCTGGCTTGGTAGGTTGGTATGACTTCAAGGCTCTTGTAAGAGAACAGAGCTTCTTGATATGTTAGACCAATAGTGAATTTGAATGGTCTGTGTGATATTGGGTACAAGGACATTGACCTGAGTGTCGTCTCACAGATAAAACACAGCACAAAGTAAAAAATAAGCATGCTGATGATTTCTATGCCAGCATTTTGCTAATGGCTAACAAAGGTGGTGAGTAAAGTAGGCTTTTTCTGCAGCCACCCTATTGACCACTGCCCTGGAGTAATGGATTTTGATTGGGATTTTTTAATTAATATCTTTTTTTTTTTTTTCACCACAACTCTGTACAGATAAACTAGAACAATGTTACCTCTAAAATCAACCAATTTTATGGAAGAAGACAATGATAGGCAGATTAATATTACAATCTGTAGTGGCCTACTATCTTAACAGGAGCTCATTGTTATCGAATTGACATAAACAATTAAATGCTGAAATGTCACCATATTTCCCAGCATTTCATCACATAAAACACCTTTGAGCTGTGAGTATGAATACCTACAGTAAACTGCAGCATGACAGCCAAAACAAATTGCAGATCTTCTATAAAATGGATATTATAACAACAGGAGTATAATATACAATGCCTCATACAAACCAAGAATCAGAAGGTTCATTTTGTCAGTAACAGGAACACTATGCACTGAGCTGCAGTCAAAAGTCATCATTACTGAAAAGAAGTGGAGGAGGGGAAACACCTATGACATCACACATCATGGCAGTTGCTGAGAAATTTTCAGAAAGCAGGGCCAGATCTCACTGTGTTATTCAGATGATTGGACAATGTTTATTCTATCAACTGGGTAACACTGTACTGAGGTCAGCACTGATAACAGGAGGTGGAACTGTTTAAAGTCCTGAAGAGAGGTCAGTGTTCTAAATTGAACTTTAGTATTAGAAATGGGAAATGAAAGGACTTCATAGTTTTACTGAGAGATAAAACTGTTTTTGCAGCAGATTATGCTGATGTCTTGCGGCAGCAGAGGTCACATGTACCCAGTCAGAGGAAGTTTGTATATTAATAAGTCTGAATGTCTCTATAAGTGCAAAAGCTTACAGCTTTGTTTGTGTAAACCATAGGCAATTGAACGGTTTGCATGTCGACACGGCTCTCATTCCTTGTCAGTTGGGTGTTGGTAATGAGCCACATTACAGAGCGGTAAGACTGATTCTTCAGATCTAAGTAGGATAAATAGTAACAGAAAACGTAACATTTGGTGAATTAAAGTATAAGTGAACTATGGAAGAGTATATTAAGATCAAAATAGATTTAGACGATATAAATTGTGGTTACTCAGTTCTTAGAACTTTAAGACAAGTCATAACTTTACTCAGACCAAAGTTTTTTGCTGTTAGATTACAATATAATGTGTTTAAACAGCTGGCTGGATGAATCGGTTTTCAAATTTTGTCTGCAAAGAGTTTATTTGTTATGTGTTATTATTGCAGGTTTTAATGCAATGGCATCGCTCAGAGTGTCTCTTCCTCTGTTGCTTCTGCTCATGATTGTAGGTGAGTCAACACATCTTACTGAAACATTGGATTGTTGTGATGTAGAAATACATATGAAATAAGTTAGTTAGTGATGTAAGTTGTCAATGTCTAGAGCTACAGCATTTTCACTGTGTTCAGTTGGTAGTTTGTGCTGCTCTCTTGTCCCTTCTTTGACTCTGCTGCAACACCTTTAGAGCTCTTCTCGCTTTGTGGTTTCTCTCAGAATCAGCTCAGTGTTGTAGAGGAGCTGCTGGAGTTAGAGAGGAGAGAAGTGAAGCTGTAAGCTACAGTAACTCTGACTGTCTTATGGGCTCCAGACTCTGTAATCAGCTCTTTCATGCATCATATGTTTCAGGAGCTTTTGGAACAGAGTGGAGTGTGAAGTACAACCAACAGAAAATATGTGCTTTAAAAGGATCCACAGTGTTTATGAATGGCACTTTTACTCACCCGGGTGGTCAAACAGTGACAGAAGTTTTCTGGGTTATGGACCCAGATCAGAATCCGAGTTGGCCTGATATGTCCAAAAACGCAGATTATTCAGGCAGAGTTGAGTATTTAACTGATGAATGGAAACACTTCTCCCTCAATCTGAATAATGTAATGAAGAAGGATGAACACCAGTATTGCGTCAGAATCAAGACAGATCAAGAAAAGCAAAAATATTTAGGAAGACCTGGAGTTACGCTAACTGTTACAGGTAAGATAATTCAAATTTAACAAAAATATGATAGAATCCGTCCTCTCACTTTGGAAATAGTGATTTCACTTGGTAACACATTTTGATTAATGAGGGACTTCTAAAGTCATTCATGGATATAACTAAACATTTGGGTTATATACATATATGTCAGACCTTGGAACACTAAGCCATGCAGTTGTCAAGTTCCCCAGCACTGTGACAGAAAACATAACACAAACAGTTTTTCTATACAAAATCTAAGTTTAGCTTTTTTCCAAATGTAATAATTCCGTCATTGTCTTAGAGCTCCATGTGGAAACTCCTGGAGAAGTGACAGAGGGAGAAACAGCAGATCTGACATGTAAAACCACCTGCAGTCTGACTGACCCAACATTCATCTGGTACAAAAACGGACATCCTTTAACCACAAAGACCATCAACAACAACCAGCTCCACCTGCAGACAGTCAGCAGTGAGGATGCAGGCAGTTATAGCTGTGCTGTAAGAGGATATCAACACCTCCACTCTACTGCTCAGAATCTCAGAGTCAGATGTGAGTTTAGTTCATATTGTTCACTACACTACATACTACAAATACTAACCAGTGGTTTTAGCAGGAAAAGAGAATAATAAATGTCTTGGTAACATCATGTTATATTAATGTGAATAAGGTTATGTGAGTCTTTAGATTTTCCGAAGAGCACCTCAGTGTCCATCAGTCCCTCTGGTGAAATTAAATGTTCTTTGTAACTTGATGAATATTTGTAGAGCTCCATTTGTTTCGGGCACACTAAGGGTGTGAAGCACTTAGGTAAAAACCCATATATACCAGGTTTTAATTGAATCAAACGATACGATTTTTTGACTGCTTATAGTGGATAATTGTGAGTAGGCTGGAGTGGAATGGTTGTGCATTTAGGCATAGTATCACCTCAAATTGGGACTGACCCCCTAATGTCCTCGTTCTTTTCAATCTTCTGACACTTTTGGGGCAGACATTCTTCTCAGCCCTCTTTTTCATTTTCTTTCTTGTAGGGGAGAATGGTTTGTCTCTTTGCTTTACTTTAGCAGCTTATGTTTGTCTCTTTTGTTTTATAGCTTTTGATTCTTTTCTCTGTTCATTTTAGAGCCTTTTGCTCTTTCTGTTCTTTTGCTCTCTGATTTTTATGGTCACCCTTCTACAAGGTGCCGTGCCAAACTGCTGTTTGCCATGGGCTCAAGGGCAACATCACACAGGTCTGCCTGGTTTGTGCTAATCAGCCCATGGGCTTCTGAGAATTGGAGTTCCCTGGACCAGTGGTGCCTCACTGCTGTCACCCTCTACTGGCAGGCAGTGCCACAGGCTGATCCCTTACAGGGTTGGATAACAGTTAATTTGCTTTCATCCTTGTCTCTTATAGATCCTCCAAAGAATGTCTCAGTGTCCATCAGGCCCTCTGGTGAAATAATGGAGGGCAGCTCAGTGACTCTGACCTGCAGCAGTGATGCAAACCCACCTGTGAAGAACTACACCTGGATTAAGGGATCAACATCAGTAGGAGAAGGAAAAACCTACAGTATTCCCAACATCAGATCTGAGGACAGTGGAGAATACACATGCCAGAGTCGGAATGATCATGGAGAGAGAAGATCCGCTGCTGTGCAGTTAAATGTTCTTTGTAAGCTTCTTGTGATTGTTTTAAGCTGCGTTAGATGATTTGAGGAAGCCCAGAAATCTCAAAGATCATTATCATTTTTATCTTGTCTGGCGTAGATCCTCCAAAGAATGTCTCAGTGTCCATCAGTCCCTCTGGTGAAATAGTGGAGGGCAGTTCAGTGACTCTGACCTGCAGCAGTGATGCAAACCCACCTGCGAAAAACTACACCTGGTTTAAAGAAGGTGGAACCTCACCTGTAGGATCTGGACAGAATTACAGCATCATCAGCATCACTGCTGACCACACTGGACTGTACTGCTGTGTAGCTCAGAATGAACATGGAGCTCAGAGGACAGCTGGAGTGCCGGTCTCTTTAAAAGGTGAGAGACAAGATTATAGCTTGTAGTTCAAAGTATGATCTCTTTTGTAGATCATATTATTATGTTGTTCATATTTGTACTAATGTTTATTCATTTATGAATGTTGCCTGTTTGTGTATCTCTATACAGGCTACCCTGTGATTCTGTATGTAGCTGTTGGAGTCGGACTTTGTTTTATTTTTTTAGTCTTTCTCACTGTAGTTTTGTGGAGAAGGTAAGTATAACATTGAAAGATCATTATTTTTTCATAAACAGTTTATTTCACAAGGCTAAATGTTCATATTTGTATCATAACCGCTGATGATTATTGATTGGTTTATTATTGACTGTTTTCTGACAGCAGGAGAAAGAAGCAGGATGAAAATATGGATCAACCAATCTATGCGGTGAGCTCTAGATATCAATCCTTTAATTCTGATTTAATATGAAAGTGTGTGTAATGTGGTAGTTCACAGGTGTAGACTGAGAACACTATCTGAGGTCCTGATTCTGACCAGTGGTGGACCTGCAGTGGACAGATGTGACTGACCACAGTAAAGTTTTTTGATGTTTATCAGTGTATCTGCTCATGTTCTCTAACTCTCTGTCCTGCAGAACGAAGGCGAAAAAGACCACAGTCCACCTCTTGAAGACAAATCCAGTGTATACGCGAATGTTGTTGTGAGTTCAAGACATTAAGTTGTATTACACTCACTTACAGTCCATTCACAGTTTTAGAGTTTTGAGAAACTAAATAACAGATACAATACAATAACAAAACAGTCTCACACCATTTCCTAACAGTGTGCGAGAAGACTCTGCCATTTCACCTTTAAAATGGATGCAGGGAACTCATGGATTTTTATGACTCATTTAGTAAAAAACATTGAGAGAAACTGCCAGAGTGCTGGACATGAGAAGTGGCCATTTGTTTTGTGTCACTGATTGATAACAACGGCTACTTAGCTAAGCAGACCTAGCAGAAATGAGCAGATACAACCGAGCTGCCCAACACCAGGCCGGTGGAATTCAATTATAACTGTTATTCAGACAGTTCATGTTAAATGTGGGGATAAAATGTAACCAATTATGCATTAAATCAGTGTCCAACAATCACAGTTGGACAGCTCTTTTAGTAAAGAAGCTATTTTCTGATATGTCTTTGCACTTATAGACATCCTGATGGCTACATCTCACACACTGTTCCCCAAACATTTTACATACAGACTCAATCTTGGATGCACAGTAATTATATTGTTGTCACAAAGGTTTTACTAAGTGATTATATAGTAATTACAATGTTGCTACCGTGTAATTACACACTACTGGTAAAAATACATTAATACCCACCATTACACACTTGGACACAAAAGTACAAGCTAAAACACAGTATTTACACACTATTTAACCCCACATACACACTATATACAAACTCACATGCAAACATTCACTCATACAAATACAACATATTCTCTCTCCCTTACAGTTACACACATACACTCTCTGTCTTTATTTCTTGCTGTTTTCTCTCACATGCATACACACATACACACTCAATCGCTCACTCACTCACTCATTCTCACATAATATCATTCATACACAGAGTATTTAAACAGCATGCGCAGTATTTTCAACTAGTTCAGCTAAACAATGTATATATTGATTAGGTGGCTTTTTCAAATCAGTTTAAAGTTCTTAACAAAGTTAACTTAAAGTGTGTGATTTTCTCTAACACATCTACTTTTTTACATAAGCTTTTAAGAAGCAGCACTGAGACTATCGCCAACAGTATTTACCACACCCAAAACTGCACTAACAATCCAATGGACAACCATAGCTGAGAGAAAGAGTGAGAGGTTTTATTCAAAACATCAAACTGTAACATACATGGATTTTCCTGATCTTTTATATATGTTTTTGTTTTTTTCATTTTTATGTGAATGTTTGCATTTTTAAACCCAAATCTTTAATATTCCTTTTATGTCGAGCTGTTGAATGCCTTTTATTTCCACTCTTAAATATTAATGTGCTAAAAGGAGGGTCTCTTTGGAACAATGCCAAAGAAGAACCAATACAAAAGCTTTTCTTTCATTGAATCAGTCTAAAGAAACCATTCTGGTACCTTCATTTTTTATAGTCCATAGAATGTACACAATTCAAAGGACTTGGAACTTTTATATTGTTATTGTTTAGAAGATTTTACAACATAATGTCTTGTGAAGCTATTTAAGGCCAAAGCTTTGTGCCTACATTTCTGTATGTTTCTATAATAAAAACTATAACTTGTAGTCTTGAGAATTCAGTCTTTTCTACACACAATAGTTTCCAAGTTTACAGATTTATTGTCTGAGCAGTTTTTTTTTAGTCATCCAGGTCATTGAATTATCTAATAGTAGTAAGTGAAGGTGACTGGGTGTGTAATTTAACCCTGAAGATGTTTCTCCTGAGAGGAGTAAATATTTTAGGAATAAAGATGCTATTATGGTATTGGACCCAGGGGTCCCAATCCCAGTCCTGGAGACCACATGCTCTGGACATTTTGGGTTTTCCCCACTGTAACACCTGACACAGCCAGCGAGGAGCTTGTTAATTAGTTAATGAGTTGAATCAGGTGTGCTGGAATAGATGTTAGTTGTACCAGACAAATAGAGTCACTGACTGCACTAGAAATGTTCTATTTCACTGATTAACTGTATTATCAGGATAACCAGTAGCCATTGCCCTTGTAACAGCGGTAGATACAATCAAATGGATGGAAAAAGATCTAAAACACAACATTCACTTAAAATAAGGCGCAATTTATATTAAGTGTATATAACCATGTAGTTAAACATTAATAACACATGCAAAAAAAAAAAAATATCTTCATGTTTCAGGGCTCTGTTTTTATGGAACAGGCTTCACTTCTGTTTCTGGGGTTGGTTTTCTATAAACATAGGGAATGACATCATTTACAGCTGGTCACCATGTGAAATGATCCTGACGTCATATTTCACAAGAGATTCACACCCTAATCTGAGATCTGCTTTTAGAATGTATACATTTACTTTCTCCCAAAACTTTAGTAGAATGTGTTTCATGAATAAACCAAAATCACGTTAGAAATAATTTACATATTCAGTAATAGAAACCCTGTACAGCTGCGTTAGTGAGGGGAAGGATGAACACTCATGACATCATGCAGTATCAGGTAGAAGAGGGGAAACTGGGTAGCCCTGTATGGCATAATGGACAGAGCTCTCCATGCAAAACATCATCAAGAACTTTAGTATCAGACATAGAAAATGAAGAGACATCCTAGTTTCACTGATAAAACATTCTGAGAAAGAAAGCCTGCTAAGAAAGGCATATTCACACAGGTTTTTGTTGGTCTTTTCATGCTGTTTGGGGTGATTTGTCATGTGGATGTGAGTGAGAACAGCAAGACTGATTAGTCAGTTGAGAACAATTTTCATAATGTAGTTATATGCCTTTCTTACAGAAGCCCTGAAGGGTAAAATGATAATAATAACATTGAAACTGCAATTACTTCTGAGATCCTCATTGTTTTTTTTGTCTGCCTGTGAAACACACCGCTTAGCATGTTACACCAGTTTTGACCAGCAGGAGGCAGCAGTTTTTTTTGTTTTTGTTTTTTTTTGTTTCCTGTAGCTAAATGCTAAGAATTAGAGAGCAGTTTAACTCAAAAGACTGCGACTGCAGAGGCAACCGCAGAAGAAAAGTTAGCCGTCATACAGCTACAGGTGAGATAAATGTTCGGCTGTTCTTTCTTGTAAATGTTGATATTAACACTCTGAACCAAGCCTGTTTGACCAGTTGGAGTTACTGTATTGTTTGCAGCACAGTGTAATGGTTCAAACCTTCGTATAGCTCCCCTGTCGTGTTGGGCCAGTACATGTTAACCATAAACTAATTACTTACTCACACATACAGACATACTTGTTTATTTTGCCTGTTTGAAGAGGTTAAAAAATGTATTTGTTCTCACAATTTCTACACATTCTTTCACATGTTCTTTATAGCATGCTAATTCTTAGCATTTAGCTCTCCAGAGATTTTCTTCACCTGGTCAATAAAGAGTCAAAGAAAAAAAATACTAAATAAAAAACTAATTTTCACTTGGTTCCACTGAAGGGTAAGAAAGAAATACATGTATATAAATGTGTCGCCCCCTGCTGATCAAAACTCGTGCAACATGTCAAGTGTTAGCCAACATATTACATATACATGGGAGAAAAAATCTGAGGTTTTTGATGGCTGAAATTGTAATTTTATAATACTAGAAATATTTTTTTCAGCTCTTTTTGGTGCATTATACAGGCAGAAAAAAAATGAATAATGTGGGACAGACTCAGTAACATACTCTCACTCTTTTCATCTTACCTCTCGGGGCTTCTATACTTTCTGCTCATGTGATTGGTAGAATGATGTTAGTTTGCTTATTTAATATATTAAGTCTTACATAATCTTAGTACAAAATTCTTAGAATCTCTCAGTGATAAAGTATTAATACAAGGCCAAAGAACTTCACTGGTAGCCACAACAAAGATTTCTTACTGTTTTATTGTACCATTTGAGAGAACCATGTTGTTCCATAGATGATAAACATACTTTCTCAGGGGTGTCCAATCTCATTCATACAGGGCCGGTGTGGCTGCAGGTTTTCACTCCAAACAAGCTGGAGCTCACCTGATTCCACTTGTTTAATCTGGTCTCAGTCTTCAAACCACTGATCAGGTGATCTCCTGCTCTGTTGGAATGAAAACCTGCAGCCACCCCTGGCCTTTTGTGGATAAGACTGAACACCCCTGCATTATGTGTTAGGTGTTTATATTATTTTTCATTATGTGTTCTGAAATTAAATGTAAAAAGTGTACAAATGATCAAAAATGAGAAAAAGAGACACTCATTTCTACTGGCACCCTAAGGGATTCTAGTAATATGTCAGCATTAAGCTAAAAGCAATTCACATTAACAATTTTGGTTGTTCTAGATTAAACATAGACGTTTGAAGCTTGTAAATCATGCTCCATGTTTTATTAGAAACTTGTAATAGATATCTTAAGATAATCTTACTTTGTAGCAGTTTTCAGTAAGGAGCCCCAGCATTGAGCTGCCACTGTTTTCCGTTCTTAACATCTGCCTGAAATGTGTCGGTCAGTCTCCCATTCATATTCACAGTAAATGGTGTTTCTATGACTTTCAAAAGCCTAGACTGACATTTCTCTTCTTACAAAATTGGTGCCACTCATTGTAACTCAAACCTGATTGGTTGATTCTACTATCAGTTCCTAAATATGTCACATTAGGCCTACCGTTCAGCTCCTGAAGTCCTAACCAGTGGGACAGCTGACTCAGATGTATCAACCTAGAAACCACATGGAAAAAAAGATCCTGATTGGATATTTTTTTATTAGCTGTTTCAACCCCTTTGTTACCAATCAAAACTTAACAATGAAATGAGTGTTGCTACAATATTTGAAGAATTTAAATGCAATAAACATGATGAATAAAAAAGAACTAAAATTATTATATATAACTTTGTTTCACAGAGATTATTAAGTCTCAGAAGGCTGATTGTTCCCTATTGGTGGCTGACTGGAATTACACCATATTATTTATGTTGACTATAATGAATTTGTGCTTCTCTCAAATTTAAATGAGTAAAACCAACCCTTGATTGATGTCTATGTTTAAATCTGGATGGAAGCTCTTCTGTAGGATATGGACACAGTCACAGTGATCCACTGAGGGGATCCTACCACTATGAGGCTTATAATCAACATGAAGCTCAGAGATCAGATCCAGTGCCAGTTGTTTAAATAGTGAGGCACCCAGTTATAAATTATTGTTTAAAATGTCCATTTTTTTCTATATTGTGTTAATAATTTATCCATTAAGCTTTTCTGTTCATTCAGTTTTTATTTAAAGACGTTTTTATTTTTAGACTCGTGTATTATTCACTTACTTATTCATTTTACGAACCGTTTTTTTTTATTATTATTTTCATTATTTTTCATCACACATTTTCATTAAGTAAAAATAAAAAAAAAAAATTAACACATTTTATCAAATGTTTTTCAAACATATTTTTTTCAAAGCCAAGAGCAGAAATATGGACAAACATGATTATGTGGTGATAAGGTCCTATAGTTATGGCATTGTACCACTGTGCACTGCAGTTTGCTATGATGTGGTTTATGGTCATTTTCACTGCCAACTGAACCATACTTTACCTGAGTACCCTCGCAGAATTTAGTTTCTGTTCTTGCTGGGAGCATATGTGTGCTGAGTTGGAACATATGGGTGGACTTATCAATGGTCCAAACCACTGATTGGTCAAAAGCTGTAATCACAGAATAGTCACAGTGTCCCTGGAGTTGGACAGCTGCCATTGAAAATGCCGGAATCACAGTCTGTCCATCTGTCACGGAATTTAGAGTGTGTGTGATTACACTTCTATTCCCCCTAGATGGCAGAATAGGTCTTAGGTTTGTGGAATGTATCTATGAAAAGGTAAGTGTGCTGTCCAGGGTTCTGTTCTAACAGGTGACCTGCAGAGCTTCTGTTTTCAGTCAGTAAAATATGATCAATTCAATTTTCATCTTTCAGTATTTTTTTTAGAGAAAACAGATTTAACTGATTTTTTAGAGATGATTCACAAACACCTTCAGTCTGCCCACTCCATGCAGAATGCCGACCATAATGTTAAGCACATTCATACAACTGATCAAGCTGAAATTTTGCAGGTAGTGTCTATTCAAAAGACTTTACATCAATATCTAAGGACAATATGATACATTGAACTTTATGGCTGCCATCAGCCAATCAAATTTCAGCAGGGATTTGAG